AACGGGCTCCAGCTCAGCAGCTGTGCTGCGTGCTCTGAGTTGGGGCAGCCTGTCGGGATCTTCGTTCCCTGATCAGAGATCAAACCCAAGACCCCAACATTGCAAGCGGCATTCTTAACCACTGGACCACCATGGAAGTCCCTTGAGTATATTCTTATTTATAGCAAAGAAGACCAAAGAAATAGAGGGAAACAATGCAATGGGAAAGGCCTCTCTTCAAGAAAATTAGAGATACCAAGGGAACATTTCATGCACAATAAACGACAGAAACAGTAAGGACCTAACAGAAGCAGAAGAGATTAAGAAGAGGTGGCAAGAATACACAGAACTGTACAAAAAAGGTCTTAAAGACCCGGATAACCATGAGGGTGTGGTCACTCACCAAGAGTCAGACATCCTGACATGTGAAGTCAAGTGGGCCTTAGAAAGCATTACTGTGAACAAAGCTAGTGGAGGTGATGGAGTTCCAGCTGAGCTATTTAAAATCCTAAAGGATGATGCTGTCAAAGGGCTGCACTCAATATGCCAGCGAATTTGGAAAACTCAGCAGTGGCCACAGAACTGGAAAAGGTCAGTTTTCATTCTAATCCCAAAGAAGAGCAATGCCAAAGAATGTTCAGACTACTGTACAATTGTGCTCAATTCGCATGCTAGCAAAGTAATGATCAAAATCCTCCAAATTAAGCCTCAACAGTACATGAACTGAGAAATCCCAGATGTACAACCTGGATTTGGAAAAGGCAGAAGAACCAGAGAATAAAATGCCAATATCTGCTGGATCATAGATAAAGCAAGGGAATTTCAGAAAAACATCTATTTCTGCTTCATTGACTACACTAAAGCCTTTGACTGAGTGGATCACAATAAACCGTGGGAAATTCTTAAATAGATGGGGATACAAGACCACCTTACCTATCTCCTGAGAAACCTCTGCAGGTCAAGAAGCAACAGTTAGAACCATACATGGAAAAACTGACTGGTTCAAAATTGTAAAAGGAGTAGGTCAAGGCTGTATATTGTCACCCTGCTTTTTTAACTTACATGCAAAGTACATCATGTGAAAAGCCAGGCTGCATGAATCACAAGCTAGAATTAAGATTGCCAGGAGAAGTATCAGTAACCTCAGATATGTAGATGATAACACCCTAATGGCAGAAAGCAAAGAGGAACTAAAGAGCCACTTGATGAAGGTGAAAGAGGAGAGTGAAAAAGCTGGCTTAAAACTCAACATTCATGGCATCTGGTCCCATCTCTTCATGGCAAATAAATAGGGGAAAAGTGGAAACTGTGACTGATTTTACTTTCTTGGGCTTCCAAATCACTGAGGACGGTGACTATAGCCATGAAACTAAAAGATGCTTGCTCCTTGGAAGAAAAGCTATGACAAACCTAGACAGCATATTAAAAAGCAGAGACATTACTTTGCTGACAAAGGTCTCTCTAGTCAAAGCTGTGTTTTTTCCAGTAGTCATGTATGGATGTGAAAGCTGGACCACAAAGAAGGCTGAGCACCAAAGAAATGAACTGTGGTGTTGGAGAAGACTCTTGAGAGTCCCTTGGACTGCAAGGAGATGCAACCAGTCCATCCTGAAGGAAATTAGCCTTGAATATTCGTAGGAAGGACTGATGCTGAAGGTGAAGCTCCAATACTTTGGCCACCTGATGCGAAGAGCCGACTCATTGGAAAAGACCCTGATGCTGGGAGGGATTGGGGGCAGGAGGAGAAGGGGACGACAGAGGATGAGTTGGCTGGATGGCATCACTGACTCAATGGACACGAGTTTGAGTAAGCTCTGGGAGTTGGTGATGGACAGGGAGGCCTGGCCTGCAGCAGTCCATGGGGTCACAAGGAGTCGGACACATCTGAGCAACTGAACAACAGCATCTACTGTCTAAGAAACTTTCAAATATAAAATACAGTATCATTAACTATTAGTCACTAGGCTGTACATTACTTCTCCAAGACTTAGTTATAACTGGAAGTTGGTACCTATTTCCCCCACCTTCCACCCCTCACCTCTACCAACTTACCTGTTCTCCGTATCTATGAGTTTGGTGTTTGGTTTGCCTGTCTAGATCCCACAGAGAAGTGACTTAGAGGCCTTTCTCCCGCAGCCTTTTGCTCTCTGTACAGACACACATCTCTGACCCAATGGTAAAGACAAAGGTTGGCCTCAGTCCTCTCCATGTCTGCAGGGAGCTCAGCACGGGCCTCACAGAAGCAGGCGCTGGATAAATTTTGTGGAAGAAATGAATACAAGCCAACTACATTAGAGAAAAGTAAAAACAGGTCTTCTGAAACCTTGTGACTCAGACTTGGACTTGAACCCATGGTCTTTTAGCTGAGATCACACACCTTGATTTCAAGACTTAATGAAGCTCTTGATGTCTCATCGCAGAAAGAATTCCGTGAGAGACAAAGTGATAGGTAGAAAGTGGATTTATTTTGAGAACAACACACTCCACAGACAGAGTAGGAGCCGTCTCGGGAGAGAGTGGCCTTGAAACCTGGTGTGGTTAGTTTTCATGGGCCGAGTAATTTCATAGGCTAATGTCTGCAGTTCACTTGGATCTTTGTCTCTTCCAGGAAACCACTGCCCCTCTCTGAGGCTGGATCCAGCGACCCTCCTGCGGGCTCCCACAGATCAGATGATTGCCTGCAGCCTAACGCGTACCACTTCGCATTAAAAATGCAGGGACTGTATTCTTTCTCTGTCTCAGTAGTAGGAGAGCTTCTCAAGTGCAGGGACCCACTGCGGTCACTGCCTGGCACTCCCTAGTAAATGCTTATTAACTGAGATGAGCGACCAGAGACGGGCTCAAAGGCCTCAGCTCCTTCATCTCTACCTGTGCTAAGAGCTTGTGGACGGCGTCCCACTCATTTCTGGCAGAGAGAAGATGCCCTGTTTGGGCATTCCCTGGCAGTCCAGTGGGTAAGACTCTGTGCTTTCACTGTTGTGGGCTCAGGTTTGATCCCTGCTCAGGGAACTACATTTAAAAAAAGAGAGAGAGAGAGATAGAGAGATAGAGAAAGAAAGAAAACAAGAAGATCCCCAGTTAAAACTTACTGAATTCAATGAAACAGAGAATAAATCATTCTGCAAACACATCCTACACCACCAGCAGAGAAGTTGTTTGGCATCAAGACACCTAGATAAACAGTAAGTGAGGCAGTGAATTCAGAACTCAAAATATGTGCCCAAAATATTGTCTGGTTTTCTTCCTCATCTGAGCTAAAAGAGACGAGGGTAAGGGAGACAGGTCTGCCCAGGCTCATCGTTACTAGGCGATTATTCCCCAGACGCTGCTCCGGGCTCTGGGGCTTCAAGCCCTCGGGGTCACCTTCATGCTGGGGGAAAGAGCCCCCGCCCTCGCGCAGGGGCGGAGAGCCCTGGCCGCGTTCTGGGGCACACAGTAGGCCCGCAGTGTGTACTGGACCGAGGGTAAGATAAGGGAGGCCCCTGAAGTCTATGCCGGGTGCCACCACCCAACTGTCTCCCAGATCTGCCCCTAACAGGTGCTTGTGAGCATCCTTAGTCGCTCAGTCGTGTCCGACTCTGTGACCCTGGGGACTGTAGCCCGCCAGGCGCCTCTGTCCATGGGATCCCCCAGGCAAGAACACTGGAGTGGGCTGCCATGCCCTCCTCCAGGGTAGTAGGTGCTTCAGTCAGTCAGTTCACTCGCTCAGTCGTGTCCGACTCTTTGTGACTCCATGGACTGCAGCACACCAGGCCTCTTTGTCCATCACCAACTCCCCGAGTTTACTCAAACTCATGTCCATTGAGTCGGTGATGCCATCCAACCATCTCATCCTCTGTCGTCCCCTTTTCCTCCTGCCTTCAATCTTTCCCAGCATCAGGGTCTTTTCAAATGAGTCAATCCTTCTCATCAGGTGGCCAAACTATTGGAGTTTCAGCTTCAGCATCAGTCCTTCCAGTGGATATTCAGGACTGATTTCCTTTAGGATGTACTGGTTGGATCTCCTTGCAGTCCAAGGGACTCTCAGGAGTCTTCTCCAACACCACAGTTCAAAAGCATCAATTCTTCGGCGCTCGTCTTTCTTTATGGTCCAGCTCTCACATCCATACATGACTACCAAATACAAAACCTAGAGAAGGACTGACGGAGAAGGCAATGGCACCCCACTCCAGTACTGTTGCCTGGAAAATCCCATGGACGGAGGAGCCTGGTGGGCTGCAGTCCATGGGGTCGCTAAGAGTCGGACACGACTGAGCGACTTCACTTTCACTTTTCACTTTCATGCACTGGAGAAGGAAATGGCAACCCACTCCAGTGTTCTTGCCTGGAGAATCCCAGGGACGGGGGAGCCTGGTGGGTTGCTGTCTACGGGGTCGGACAGAGTCGGACACGACTGAAGCGACTTAGCAGCAGCAGAGAAGGACTGAAGGCCCACCAGACCCTGGGGGCCCTGGGGGCGGACGTCGTCTCCGGTGTCTCTCAGCCATTTGTAGAGTTGGGACACGGGGCCCAGAGAGGGTTAACGATTTGCCCAAGGCGGGCTCGGGGAATCCGCTGGCGGGGCTCAGGGCGCCGGTCTGCCGGTGGGGACCCCAGGCGGCCGCTCCGGGAGCTGCGCGCACGGCGAGCATCGCATGTTACTCCGGGCGCGCGCCCGTCTGGAGCAGAGCGAGCAGAAAACGCGGGAAGAGCCCCCGGCGCGGCCTCGGGCGGCGGGCCTGCCGGAGACCCCGGATGGGCGGGCCCGGGCCCCGCGCCCCACAGCGCGACCGCGGGGCCCCGCGGTGCCGCGCGCTCCCAGGCCCGCCGGGCTCCGGACAAGAAAATGCTCGCGCTCCCAGGCTCCGGAGCCCACCGGGGCCCGGGCGCGCCCCCCTCCTCGGTGGCCCGGCCCCGGTGGGCGGAGCGGAGCGGAGCGCGGGCGGGGCCCCTGGGGGCGCGGCCCTGGAGCGGGGCGCGCCGAGACCGCGGGCCGCTTCCCAGTCTGGCTCGTCCCCCGGAGCCCAGCTCTCGGTGCCAAGATGACGGCGAGCAAGCGGGTGGCGAAGGTAACCCCTCCCGCCCGGCTCCCCGCGCCTTCCCGGGCTCCGTTCCCCGCATCCTGCCCTCTGCTCCCCGAGCGCGTTTGGGGGACCCGGGCCTGCCGAGTCTCTGCGTCCCTGCCCCTTCCCCAAGGATCAGTGGGGCTGCGAGAGGGTCTGCAGTTTCGGGGGGTGGGAGGACATGAATGGGGTGTCGCCGGCTCCCTGAGCTGTGCTGGGGGATGAGCCGCCTCCCCCCGCGTTGGTTTCAGTTTCATTTTTCCTGCCGGAAACTTGGGACAGTTACGTGCGTCCCGGGGGCGGGGCTTCCCTGGTGGCTCAGCTGGGCAAGAATCCGCCAGCAATGCGGGAGACCTGGGTTCGACTCCTGGCTTGGGAAGATCCCCTGGAGGAGGGAAAGGCTACCCACTCCAGTCTTCTGGCCTGGAGAATTCCATGGACTGTATAGTCCATGGGGTCGCAAAGAGTCGGACACGACTGAGCGGCCTTCACTTTCAGGTGCGGGAAGGGTTGGTTCTCTGGCGTCTTTCTGGAGCCAGGTGCTTTGTTGGCAGTGGTGGCAGGTGCCTGTTAAGCAGAGATAACCAGGACCCCCGGGCTTTGGTGCCCACGTTAGAGCCCCGAGAACGGGGCCTTCTCTGGTGGTCCAGTGGTTAGGACCTCCACTGGAGGGGGCACAGCTGGATCCCCAGTCGGGGAACTAAGATCCCCAAGCCTTGCAGCGACCCCGCCCCCCGCAAAAAAAAAAAAAAAAAAAGCCCAAGAAGTATGGGACGCTAAGTAGGAGTTGAGAGCAAAGTTCTCAGGGTTTTCTCCTGAAGAAAAGCTGCCAGGGCGAACCCAGAAGGTCACCTGGAGTAAATGGTGTGCAGTCATCTGGTCTACAGATGTTGTTGAATGCCTCCCATATGCTGGTTCCTGCTCTAGGAAGTGGGGAGGCAGAGAAAACCAAAAAAGTCTTATCTTTATTCTGATCAGGGACACAATTTGAAGTGAGGTCGGGAAGGATGGGGAGGGAGGGATTTTCCCCAGGAGGGAAAACCCAAGGCATCTGGGGGACTGGGGTGTGGCTGGGATTGGACATAGATGCGGAAGGTGGGGGAGGATTCCCTGGTGGCTCAGATGGTAAAGAATCTCCCTGACGGTGGAGCAGTTCTGGGGAGGTGGGGCTGATACCCCTGAGGCTTTGAGTCTCTCAGAATCGCCCCTCCTGTGTGCAGGCGTGAGGAGGGTGAACAGGGGGTGCTACCCTCAGCCTCTGGGAAGAAAATGATTGCAGGCTGGGGCACCCAGAGAAGGTTCAGCCCAGAAGGATTGAACTCTGGAGGTTGGCAGCAAAATGAGGCAGAGGGTTTTTCCAACTAAGCAGGAAAGCCGGGAGCCAGTATTTGTCTCCCCGGCACCATTAACTGTCGGGGAGTTTACATCAGTCATTTCAGTACCCCTGAGAGATGAGTCCTCTGCCCCCATTTTACAGATGGGGAAGTTGAGGCTCAGAAAGACTGACTTGATTGTCCTGGGTCACCCGGTAGGGAGTGGTGGGGCTGGGATTTGAGCCAGGGTTGGTGAGGCTCCAACCCAGAGGTTCTTTCAGTGGCTTCTCTACTTTCATTTTCTGTTCCTCCGAGTCAGATGATTTCTGAGCAGGCCTTGGGGAACAGCTGTGTTCTAGTGTGGGTTTCAACATCTCCAGGCTTTGCGAAAGTCTTGACAGAACTCATGCATGACAGGTCAAGTCCAAGTTCCTCCCTCCAGTTTTGGTAAAGTTGGGAAAATGTCTCTTCCAGGGCTTTTCTGTGCAGCGTGGGGCTTCCTTCTTGCTCAGGGGTCACAGACAATCCTGGAACTAGTAGCAGGAGATGCTTCTAGTTTGGGGTAACAGATCAGTGAGGGGTCATAGGCCCTGGGCCGTCTGTGGGCATGAACAGAGGTGGGGTGTAGAAAGATAAGAAACAGGGGATAATGGTGTGCTTGTACTTTGGGGCTCAGAGAAAGTTTAGGCGGGGCACAGTGTGAAGGGTTCCCCCAGCTGTGGAAGGTCTTTGGGGACCTTTCTCTTAGCCTTTGTTTATATCAGAGTTTCGCAACTTTGTCGCCACTGATATTTGAGGCTGGATCATTTTCTGAAGGATGTTTATCACACCCCCAGTAGAGACCACTCCCTGGTAGAGACCACACCCTGGTAGACCCACTAGACGGAGCAGCACTCCTCCACGTGAGGCAGCCAGAAATGGGTCTAGACATTGTCAGAAGTGCTGAGCCCGGTAGATAAAGGAGCCCCCGCTGAGAGCCTCTGGCTTACACCCGCTCAGTGTTCCAGGAAAACATGACCTGCCCTTCAGAGTCTCTTTTTAAATACATTTATTTATTTTTGGCTGTGTCATGTGGCTTGCAGGATCTTAGTTCCCCCTCCAGGGATCAAACTCCATGAAAGCCTGGAGTCCTAACCACATGACAGCCAGAGGATTCCCTAAATGTCTTTTTTTTTTTTTAAGGTCTGTTGCCCAGGGGAGAGAGAAAAGGGAGGGGCAGCATTGAGTAGGGGGTAAGAGGTACAAACTATTAGGTATACGATAAACCAGAGGATATATATACTGTACAACATGGGGAATAGCTATAGGCAGAGTATAACCTTTAGAAATTGTGAATCACTGTATCATAACATATAATATTGCCCAGCAACTATACTTCAATTAAAACAAAATTTTTAAAGATAAGAAAATACATTTTTAAAAGGTCTGTTGTCCCACAAAAAGGACCCCAAAATGGAGAGCGGAATTCCTTGGTCTAATACTAAATTTGAGATGTGCTGCATACTTGGGCACGCATCTCGGAGAATGGCAACGTGCAACAGAGCGTTAAAGGCTTTGGAAAGTCCTGCAGGAAAGAACTCAGTGTAGCCTAGTGTTTCCCAATGTGGTTGACCATGGAATCCTTTTCCCGTAACAACTGTGAACTTTGCACGGGACACGCTGTACACACCTGCTCTAACTGGGCCCTCCGCCCTGGTGCTTCGCCAGCTCTCTGCACGGCAGACTCCTGTTCATACTGCAGGGCCCAGTGTGGTGTCGCCCATGTGAAGCTTTCCTGCTCCCCTTCCCTCTCCTCCTTCTCCTTTTGAGAGGGTAACAGGCAGGAAGGCCAGGGGTCTCCAAACGGAGGAAGCAGGCTGCAAGCATCAGGCATTTTTTTATGTCTCTCTTAAGCAGCAGGAGGAAACAAGTGTGAGATTTTTTTCCCCCTTCTTTATACAAATTTAAAAGGAGGTTTTTCTTAAAATTCTGTGTTGCTATGACAACCCCTGGCTCCACCTGAAGTCAACTTTTCTCAAACCTTGAGCTAACCAATGCATTTTCTTATGGCAGTGTTTTTCTTACGCTATGTTAATGAGCTAGGTATTTACCCTGGACTCTTTCTTTCTTCAAGTCAGTTCCGCTTAAGACTCAGAACCGATAAGGGCTCAACAAACCTGTATGTTTTACTCATACATTGTTCTCCTCATCACTGTTAATGAAACTATGTATTTACTTGGAAACCTGTCTTTCTTCAAGACTCAGGTCAGTCGCTTTATGGCCCGGGATGACGCCCCTGGTGCCAAGGTCATCTCAAAATGCACGCTGTGGGTGAGGGGCCTGGTGCCACTCTGAGTTTTGAGACATCTCCTTTCTCTAGTTAACAGCCTGCTGATGGGAGTATAACATGCTGCTAAAGACTAACAGGGTGGCACTCTTTCTGCCCCCTTCTGCTGTCTCTCTCAGAAGCTTTGTTTATCTTTATGCTTTAGTAAAACTTTATGACACAAGAGCTCTGAGCAATCTAGCCTTGTCACAGGCCCGGGATTGAATTTGTCTCCTCCGGGGGCCAAGAATCCCAGCATCTTTCATGACTCAGTGACCACCTTTCACTCTCCCCTCCTACTGGGTGTCCACACTTTATTCACATAATCACACCGTGTCTCTTCCACCGCTCCAGTGAAGTTCTCGAGGGCGGCCCGTGTCTTAGTGACGTGGCCATGGAAGACGCTGTTGGGAGAACTCGGGGATGCTCAGATGATATCAGGGCCGCCTTCCTGGGAAGGCGAGCCGTCGCTTGTCCTCTGGTTTCTCTGCTTGGCGTGGGGCGCTGTCCTCTGCCGCGTCTGCCTGAGCGGTGCCCCCTCCCCAGGCCTGCTCTGGGACAGTCTGACAGGGACAGGCTGATGACTGCCGCCCGCCCTGCCCCGAGCTCGATGAGGGCGCGTCGCCATGCTGCTCGCCGGCGGGGAGAAGGGAGGCCGGGCGTCGTGGCTCCCTAGCAAAGAACCAGACGGGAAGCACCTTGGTTTCTGGAGAAGAGGCTCCTCAGAGAGCAACCCCGTGGACTGTGACCCGCCAGGCTCCTCTCTCCATGGGATTCTCCAGGCAAAAATACTGGAATGGGTTGCCATTTCCTTCCCCGTGGGGTCTTCCCGACCCAGGGATCAAACTGGTGTCCCCTGCATTACAAGGCGGATTCTTCACCGCTGAGCCTCCTGGGAAGCGCTAAGAGGTTTGCCCCCACGGTACAGTGTTTAGACCCGCTGATTTGCATCACCCTCCGCCTGGTGCCTACGGAGCTGGGGTGCAGCTAAGAATCCGGTGATTCACTCAAGACCCCGAGCACCGGGCCGGACGCGTTCTGAGTGCGCAGTGGATGCCGGCTCCCGCTCTGCCGGCCTCTGTCCTGCTTGGCACTCGGGACGGTTTGCTGTGGGAGCGGGAGGGCGCCGAGGCGGGGAGACTCGGCCGACTGCCCGCTCTGTGCCCCCTGCAGGAGCTGGAGGAACTCCAGAAGCAGCTGCCCCGGTACCTGCGGAACCTGCGCAGCGAGGAGGACGACGTGCTGGTGTGGCACGCGCTCCTGCTGCCGGTGAGTGTCCGCGCGGGGGCGCTGCTGGGCCGCGCCGCTCAGGGCAGGGGCCCGGCGGGGAGGGCTAGACCGGGCGAGGACTTGCCCTGCCGGAGAATCCTTCCTTCTTATTATTTTTATTTTTGGCTGCACGCGGGCTCTCTCTAGTTGCGGCGATCGGGGGCTCCCTCTAGCTGGGGTGCCCAGGCTCCTCATTGGAGCGGCTCCTCTCGTTTCGGAGCGCGGGCTCAATAACCGGCATACCGCTTTAGCTGCCCCTCGGCATATGGGATCTTCCCGGACCAGCCATCGAACCCACGTCCCCTGCATTGGCAGGTGGAGCCCTAGCTTCTGACCTGTCAGGGAAGTCATGGGATTCTTTTTTTCCACTGGAGGTGATCATTGGCAGAAGGCGGGTGTCTCTCTACATTGATTGCTTCTGAGGTCCTAGCCGACGGATGAGGAGGCTAAAAGGCTTTTGGACTTGGTGGGAGACCCCTTCTTCAAGCAGTAACTACTGAGCCCATCAGGGAAGCGTCCGCAGACAAAGAGCGTCAAACACAAAAAGGCTTCCTTGTTGACTTAGAGGTAAAGAATCCGCCTGCCAGTGCAGGAGACATGGGTTCAATCCCCGACCCGGGCAGATCCCACATACCCGGGAGCAAGCAAGCCCATGTGCCACTCTACTGAGCCTGTGTTCCAGAGCCCGGGTCCACAATGCCAGGAGCCCACCTGCCCCGACTGCTGAAGCCCAGCGCCCTAGAGGCCCCCTTTGCTGAGCCCGCACCCGTGGTCTTGGTCTGTGTCCCAGCCCCAGCCTCTTCACATTATCGAGAACACGTTTTCTTTATCTGCCCAGCATTTGCTCAGACACACCCGTGACCACTGAAGCTTCCTTTCTGCCTTCTGCTCAGAAAGAGGAAATTTCTTAAACCCTTGACTCCGAACTCGCGTGTATCATTCTTTTTTAAAAAACTTGCTTTCTTTGGCTGTGCTGGGTCTTAGCGCAGCCTGTGGGATCTGATTCCCAGACCGGGGATCGAACTTGGGCCCCCTGCGTTGGGAACATGGAGTCTTTAGCCCCTGGGCCACCGGGGAAGTCCCACATATGGCATTCTGACAGTCATCCTCCTGCCGGCTCTGTCACAAAAGTTCTGAAAGGGTTTGGAGCTTTTGCAGCAGCCTGGAGGCCCCTGTGTGCTGGGCTGGGCTCATCCGAGTCCCGGGGTCCCCCCGCTAGGGGTGTGGGTTACTGCTCCCATGTGGAACAGTCCAGTCGACCGTGCTGAGTCTCCATCCAGGCATGGTTGCTGTGACCCTGGGCACGTTACTTGTATGCACTGAACTTGTTTCATCGGGAAATCCCGATGCTAATACCATGAGTTCTCATAATACTTACCGGAAGAGCTGACACATATGGGGTCCTTGCCATGTGCCTGGCCATATTCCAGGTCCCTAATGTGAATTAACTCAGGACTTCCCTGGTGGTCCGCTGGCTAAGACTCTGTGCTCCCAGCGCAGGGTGCCTGGGTTCAATCCCTAGTCAGGGAACTAGATCCCACATGTTGCAACTAAGACTCGGGGCAGCCAAATACATAAATAAATAGTAAAAAAAAAAAAGGAAAGAAAGTGGGTGCACTGTTCAGTACCTTAAAAAAAAAATGAATTAACTCATGTAATTGTCACGCAAGCCATGTGAAGAAGGCTGTGATTCTTTCTGTATGGAAAAGCACAGAGATGTTCAGCTGCTTGCCTAAGGTCACACAGGTGTGGAGGGACAGAGCCAGGATTCACACTAAAGCCACGAGGCCGGAAGTCCACGTAACCCCTACACCGTGCCGCGTGGGCTAATGCATGTCAAGCCTTAGCAGCAGGCAGCACAGAGTGGATCCCAGGAAAGCCCTCCAGTTGCTAAAGTCTAGAGGGTCTTCTGCTGGCTCCTGGCAATGCTTAGGCACTCCAGTTCCGAACTGTTGTTTTAAGATGGTAAAACACCCGTAACAGTATGTACCATCTTAACTATCTTGTTTTTGACTTTGCTGGGTCTCTGTTGCGGCAAGGGCTGTTCCCTAGTTGCAGCGAGCGAAGGCTGCTCTCCAGTTGCGGTGTTCAGGCTTCTCACTTCAGTGGCTTCTCTTATCGTGGAGCACGGCTCTAGGGCGAGGGGGCTTCGGTATTTGCAGCTCCCAAGCTCTAGAGCACAGACTCAGTACTTGTGGCACACCGGCTTAGTTGACTTAGTAAACTAGTGAACTTAGTAAAGCGTCTGCCTGCAATTCGGGAGACCCAGGTTCGATCCCTGGGTCGGGAAGATCCTCTGGAGAAGGAAATGGCAACCCACTCCAGTACTCTTGCCTGGAAAATTCCCTAGACGGAGGAACCTGGTGGGCTACAGTCCATGGGGTCACAAAGAGTCAGACACGACTGAACGACTTCACTTTCATGGGCTTAGTTGCTCTGGGACATACGGGATCTTCCTGGACCAGGGATCGACCGTCTACATCTCCTCCACTGGCAGGTGGATTCCTAACCACTGGGCCGCCAGGCGAGTCCTAGAGAAATGGCCAAGAAAGTAAAGCCTGATAGCTCTCATCATAAGGAGAAGTTTTTTCCTATTCTTTCTCTTCATTATTTTATGTGAGAAGATGGGTGTCAGCTGAACCTATTTTGGTAATTCTTTGACAGCCTACGTGAATCTAACCATCAAGCTCGACGCCTTAAGCTTAGTGATGTGTATCAGTTATTTTTCAATAAAACTGGAAAGATGTTAATTACCGACATAATTAAAAGAAGCTAAGGAGGTCCTGAGGACACCTCCAGTCAAACTGTACCCGTTTTTCAAGGGAGCAAACTGAGGCTTAGGGGTGGGAGGCAGCCGGCCCTCGGGCGCATAGCAGAAGCCAGGATCCGACTCATGCGGGCCCCAGGCCAGGGCCCTACTGACCCACAGCCCAGTTGCTAAGTGAATGCAGGGGCCATCTGTGTCTGCATTCACGGTCCTTCCTTCGAGTGGAGCAGAGGAAACCTGGGCCCTGGGGCGGGGCGGGGAGCGGGGACACCAGGCCCACGTCCTGGGGGAAGAGGGCAGCTGTGCCTCAGCCTAGAGCATGACCCCTTCTCTCATACAGGAGAGGCCACCCTACAACCTCAAGGCCTTCAGCGTGTGCATCAGTTTCCCCAGGGAGTACCCGTTCCAACCCCCGACAGTGAAATTCACCACCAGGATCTACCACCCCAACGTGGACAGGGACGGGAGGGTGTGCCTGCCCATCATCAGCAAGAAGAACTGGAAAGCCAGCACCAGGATCTGCCATGGTGAGGCTGGTTCCTGCCTGGACGGGGGGCCCTGACTGAACGGGCAGTGGGGGGTGGAGTCACGGGACCACTTTTGTGTCTGTCGTTCCTGTTTATTGTTGTTCAGTCGCTAAGTTACGTCGACTCCTTTGTGACCACAGGGATTGTAGCTTCCAGGCCCCTCTGTCCATGGAATTTCCCAGGCCAAAAACTACAAGGGCTTCCCTGGGGGCTCAGAGGGTAAAGAATCTGCCCGCAATGCGGGAGACCCGGGTTTGATCCCTGGGTCGGGAAGATCACCTGGAGAAGGAAATGACCACCCACTCCAGTATCCTTGCTTGGAAAATTCCATGGACAGAGAAGCCTGGTGGGCTACAGTCCATGAGGTCGCAAAGAGTCGGACATGACTGAATGACTGAATTTGCTGAATTCCCTTGTCTAACTCAATGAAACTAAGACATGCCGTGTGGGGCCATCCAAGACGGTCGGGTCATGGTGGAGAGGTCTGACAGAATGTGGTCCACTGGAGAAGGGAATGGCAAACCACTTCAGTATTCTTGCCTTGAGAACCCCATGAACAGGATGAAAAGGCAAAAAGATAGGACCCTGAAAGATGAACTCCCCAGGTCGGTAGGTGCCCAGTATGCTACTGGAGATCAGTGGAGAAATAACTCCAGAAAGAATGAAGGGATGGAGGCAAAGCAGAATCAACACCCAGCTGTGGATGTGACTGGTGATGGAAGCAAGGTCTGATGCTGTAAAGACAGCCGAAGGGGCGGGCCTAATGACGATAAGTACATCACTTCATTAGGTGCTCTGACACTGCGCTAAAAGTTTCACACGCTGTCTTTTTAGTTCACTTTTTTTTTTTTAACTGAAGTATGGTTAATTTGGGGGGAAGGAAATGGCCACCCACTCCTGTATTCTTGCCTGGAGAACCCCATGGACAGAGGAGCCTGGCAGGCTGCAGTCCATGGGGTCGCAAAGAATCGGACACGACTGAGCGACTTCACCTTGCTTTTATGGCTCACTTACAATGTTGTGTTCGTTTATGGTACACACCAAAGGGACCCCGGTGTACATATGTATGTGTATGCTTTTCATATTCTTTCCCACTGCCATTTATCATAAGGTACAGTCTCCTGTGATGCACAGTAGGGCTCACTGTTTCTGTATTTTACATACAGTAGTTTTTATCTGCTCACCTCAAACTACGAGTGTGGCCCTCCTCTCCTGCTTTCCCCCAGGTCTGTAAGTCTGTTTCTGTTTTGTAAATGAGTTCACTTGTATCTTTTTACCATCCCACATGTAAGTGATATCATATGGTATTTGTCCTTCTCTGCCTGACTTCCTTCACTTCATTCGGTAATCTCCAGGTCCATCCGTATGTTGCTGCAAATGGCATCCTTTCACTCTTTCTTATGGCTGACTAATATTTCCCTGTACCTGTCTACCATGTCTTCTTTATCCACTCCCCTGTCGATGGACATTTAGGTTGCACTCATATCTTGGCTATTGTAAATAGTGCTGCTGCGAACATTGGGGTACACGTAGCTTTTTGCATTAGCGTTTTCTCTGTGTATGTGCTCAACAGTATGATTGCTGGATCATTCGGCAACTCTACTTTTAGTTTTTTAAGGAACCTCATACCATTTTCCATAGTGGCTGCACCAATTTACACATCCCACCAACAGTGTAAGAGGGTTTTCTCTTCTACCCACCCTCTCCATCATAAAAATTCACTTTTTTATTCCATATGGTATTTTTTGTATACATCCATGGATGACAAATTGAAATTATAATGCATTAATCATAATTCAGGAATACAAAAGTGGAACTGGGTGGCCTTTGAGGACTTGGTCTCAGATACATCCCTGCACCACTGGGAACTCGAACTTTCTAACCCAAGGAAATCAGTCATTTCTAACACACTGACCTCATGCAGTGCCCCCGAGAAGCCCCTTGAAACAGTGCTCTCCTTGGCCCCGTTTAGTAGATCAGGACACTGAGGTGTGAGAGGTGAGCACTTGCCTGAGCGGGCAGACAGCAGAGCTGGCATCGGAAGCCTCCCTTGGCGGCTCTGAACCGCGCGGCTCAGCAGAACTTTCCTCACTGATGGAGTCGGTCCATAGCGGCCCTGTCCAATGCCACAGACACTGGCCCCATGCAGCTTTCAAGCACTTGAAGTGTGGCTGTTGTGACCGTGAACTGCATTCCTAATTGTCGTGAATTTCAATTAATTTAAATTGAGATGACCATCCATGGCTGGCAGCTACATGTCGGGCACTGTGGCCCTAGACTACAGACGCAATCAGCATGTAATCAGTCCTGTTTCAGGGGCGTTCCCTGGTGGTCCAGTGGCTAACACGCCACACTCCCCACACAGGGGGTTTAGATTTGATCCCTGGTCAGGGGACTAGATCCCACAGGCTGCAACTAAAGATCCATAACGAAGACCCAGAGAGGCCAAATAAATACTTTAAAAAAATCCCACCTCTGGATCAGCTCGGGAGTTCTTAACCCTGGAAAGCAGAGTGCTGGGGAGAGGGGGAGGCGTGGTCCTCAGTGAGCAGAGTGCTCTGACCCAGAAACCCATGTTTATGTGCATGCCGACATGCACAAGGCGGGGGCACCAGCTTCGCCAGGCTCCCAAAGTCACCCGTGAAAGATTTCGAGCCATGGGGCAGGAGTGGTTTCCAGTCTTGAGCCTCGGAACCCTTTTTCCCCAAATAAAAAATTTTTGGAATCCTATTACCGCCTCCACGGACATGAATTTGAGCAAACTCCAGGAGACAGTGGAAGACAGAGGCGCCTGCGTGCTGCAGTCCTCGGGGTCTCAGAGTCAGGCGCAACAAAAGCAGAGCGGTTCTGGCTGAAAAGGGAACAGAACGCAGAAACCGCGTCGATCTCACCGACCCCACGACGGGGGTTGTGACACCTTGTGACACTCTGTGACACCGTGGAACACAGGTTGAAAACCACCGAGGCAACTGCTCGTGAGAGCTTTGGACACCGTCATCGGGGACAGAGTGGCATTTGATTTGGTCGCAGAGCCGTCCTAAGACGTATGTTGGTGTGGGTGTCGGGGGATCTGGGAGTGAGCAGCATCACTTCCTTCCCAGGAGTTTTTTCTCTCCCTCCTGATGTCTTGATCCGACTTCTCTCCCCAGTCTTGGAGGCCCTCAACGTGCTGGTGAATCAACCGGAGCCAGGAGAGCCCGTTCGGCTAGAGCTCGCGGAGCAGCTGACACAGGACCCAGAGCTGTTTGACCGGACGGCCCAAGAGTTCACCCTCCAGTTTGGACTGGACCGGCCCTCCTAACCTGGCTTCTGACCTGGCTGCTTTCTGTGTGACGGATGGACGCCCCTTGTGGACGGGGAGGCAAGGGGGAGCCAGAGCCCCTTGGCGATTTTGCACCTGCTCGTGTCTTCCAAGATTTCCTTCTTAGGTTCTGTGTGTGTGTGTGTGTGTGTTTGTGTGTGTGTAGCGGGCGCGGACTGCCGTTATGAGTGTGGACCCACTGGCCACAGCTATGCTTTCCCCAGCCCCTTTCTCTGCCCCGGAGCCAGAGGCATTTACGTTTGCAGACTCGAAATCCAGCTCTCCAGTGCTCTGGGATGGGGGTTCCTGGTCCCACCGACTGGTCCGTCTTAGAGACTCAGCCACCTTCCCAGCTGGATGAGCAGCCAGCCCGAATCCCCGCCCCCCACAGGGCCCTGCTTGGGGTGGGTGGGGACAGCAGGTCAGGTGGAATGACGAGGAGGGGTCAGGGGGAGGAGGGCCTCTTACAAAGTGCTCTGGGGATGGAGTGGTTTAATCATAGACGGGTATAGATTTAGGTGCAAAACCTTTCCATTTCCACTGATGACTCATAAAGTGAAGAATCTCCTCTCCACCCCAGAAATCTGACTGTGCGGACTTTCGCTTTCTTTTTAAATATTTACTTACGTATTTAGTTTTTCGGCTGTGCCGGGACCGTCACTGCTGGCTTTCCTGGAGTCTCGGCAAGGGGGAGCTACACGCTAGTTGCAGTTCCTGGAGTCTCGGCAAGGGGGCGCTCCTCGCGAGTTGCAGCCCCGGGCTTCCCATCGAACAGCCTCTCTTGCCGAGCACGGGCTGCAGGCACACGGACTCAGTAGCTGCAAGCTCATGGGCTCGGTAGTTACGGCACGTGGGCTTAGTTGCCCCGCGGCCAGTGGAATCTTCCCGGACGGGGATCGAACTGGGGTCCCTTGCACTACAAGGCGGAGTCAACCACCGCCACCAGGGGGGCCCTGACTTCATGGTTCTTAAACCACTGCTGTCCCGTTCGGTGGCGGGTTCCTAGGGGCAGGCTTTACGCCGGGAGGGGCTTCCCTTCCAGCTTGAGTCCAGGGGAGCCATGGAGACCGTGTGTCTGCTCCGCGTTAAACACAAGGGTCCACCTGAGCGTTCACTTGGGGCAAGTGGCTCAGGGAGGGGGCTGGGGGTTTAGCTTGCTTCCGCCTCAACGCAGGGCTCGCAGGGCGCGGAGCCTTGTGTGACCCCAAGCGCTGTGGGGAAACCTGGCTGTGAGGGGCCCGGCCACCCTCAGCCAGAGGGGTCGTCGACCCCCCCACAGGAATGACGCCCCCGTCTTAGGCAGGAGGCAGCCAAGGCTAACGCAGCCGTTGGGTGGGTTGGCACGTCCACCCCGCTCATCTGGGCAGAGTCCGCACCTCTGGCCGCAGTGCCAAGCTGGCGGGTTTCCATTTCTGTGTTTTTCATGAGCTGTTCTCATCAGCGCACATGCTCCCAACAGCCGATAAAGCCAGACAGGATTGTTAGCAGGAAATTAGAGTCAGCTCTGGGCTTCCCTGCTGGCTCAGCGGTAAAGAATCTGCCTGCAAGGCAGGAGATCCAGGCTCCATCCTTGAGTCGGGAAGATCCCCTGGAGGAGGGCATGGCGACCCACTCTGGTATCCTTGCCTGGAGAATCCCGTGGACGGAGGAGCCTGGCGGGCTGCAGTCCACGAGGTCGCACAGAGTTGGGCACGACAGAAATACCTAAGCAGCTGCAGCAGCGTACTCAGCTCTAGGGCTCATCTCTAGTGAGCAGAGGGAAAACAGTCAAAACCTCAGCATTGAGGGATTACCTGAGCACAAAGGAGAAGCTTCTGGATGCGGTGGTTCTAAAACCACTGGCTTTTTTTTTCCTTCATTTTTTGGGCCTCACCACACAGCATGCAGGATCTTAGCTCCCTGACTCGGGATTGAACGCGTGCCCCCCTGCAGTGGAAGTGTGCAGTCTTAACTACTGGACTGCCAGGGAAATCCCCAAACCACAGGCTTTTCAGAGACAGAACGTGGAGGATCTTTGAGTCCAAGACATCACCTCCAGGTCCCACGAGCCTAGTTTGAGTGGGAGTTCTAGAGCATCTTCTACAGCAGTCCCTGTCCTGGAACTCCCTACTCTAAAAGTGTGGGGAGAGGGGAAAAGCTGTGGGCAAGTGCCCCCCGTGGCTGGAAACGTGAGGATGTCGCTACTTTGGGCCACCGCTTAGAGAACGTCTATGTGGCAGGCCCCAGGCGAGGCTTTTTGTCCTTTGTTGTCATCTGTTGTTAGTCGCTAGACTGCTAAGTCGCGTCTGACTCTCTCTGACCCCGTGGACTGCAGCACGCCAGGCTCCTCTGTCCCCCACTGTCTCCCAGAGTTTGCTCAAAATCACGACCACTGAGCTGGTGATACTGTCTACGTGATCCCATTTAACCCTCACAGCACCTGCGGGATTCTGAGCCCCTATTATCCCCGTTCAGATGGTGAACTGAAGCTCAGTGGCCCAGGGACACACAGCTTCTTGGCGACGAGACCCAGCACACTCCTGTCCCAGATGCCTGTCATGGTTGTTGAGAAAATCACATCAGGTGAGGAAAGTGGGAGGCCGGGGCTGCTTATCCCAGAGCGAGAGAGGCTCCCGGCGGGGTAGGGAGGGAGCCCCGAGGAGCCAGACAGGATTTTACAAAACAGCCTTTAATGCAGTTAAGACTGGGGCCACCTGCCCAGCCCCGCCGCCTCCGTGGAGCTGAAGGGAGACTCCGGGCCAGCACTGGCCAGCCCCTCATTTTTTCTTGGTCTTGACCAGCCCCTTCTGCACGAGGCTGCGGTACAGCTCCTGGATGTAGGTGTAGACGCACTTGGAGTCGGGCACCGCCAGCCGCACCATGTCGTCTACCTCCAGCAGCTGGGCGCAGTCGGCCAGTTTCCTGAGGGGCAGAGGGGGAGGGGTGAGAGGTGGGGGGGCTAAGGGACGGGGTGGGGCAGCCCCCCAAGGATGAAGCCCGCAGGACTGCGTGCAGCAGCGCTGGGACTTCGTCTGGCGCAACCATCCCACTGTACAGATGAGACAGCTGCGGTCCAGCAGAGTCAAGACTCAGACTCAGCGTTGCTTGACTCCAAAGCCGTGTTTTCACTGCCCCGCGTGTCTGCACGTGGGAGCGCGACCCTCTGGTCTCGGGTTCCGCGTGAGCCACCCTTCTGTGTGCGCCCGTGTCCGTCATCCAGAAGGACAGGCCCCGCAGGAAGAGTTAAAAGCACAGACCCCTAATCCCGGCTGGAGTGTGGGCGTGCAGCCTCAACTTCTCCAGCTTCTACAGGCTCTGTGTGTGTGCTGAGGGGCGCCGCGTGCTAGGCCTTCTTCTGGGGAGTTCATCACTGAACAAAATAAGAATCCCCCATCCTCATCAATGTTCTCGTGGCAGAAAACAGGCAGTCATCAAATAGAAATTGATGGTACACCAGAGGATGAGAGATACTATAGAGAAAAAGAAGGCAGGGAAGGACAGGACATGTTTCTGGGTTCAAGGGGGTTTGCTTTTGTAATATTATGTTGGTGATGGCATTTACTTATTTATTGTCAGTGCCTCGCAGCTTCTGGGATTTTAGTTCCCCCATCAGGGATTGAACCTGGGCCCTCGGCAATGAGAGTGCAGAGTCCTAACCACTGGACCGCCAGGGAGTTCCCCAGAAAGAAAGAGAGAGACAAGTTGCTCAGTCGTGTCCGACTCTTTGCAACCCATGAGCTGTAGCTGACCAGGCTCCTCTGTCCCTGGGATTTTCCAGACAACACTGGAGTCGGTTGCCATTTCCTCCTCCAGGGGATCTTCCTGATCCAGGTATCAAACCCGGGTCTCCAACACTGCAGGCAGACTGTTTAGCATCTGAGCCACCGGGAAGCCCGGAGTTCCTCAAAGAGATTTTTAATAGGAAAAGTTCTCTTAAGAGGACTTTTAAGCTCAGGAAAGTTCTCCTAAAGAGAGTAAATCAGGTACATATTTGCAGGAAGGGGGTTCCAGGCAGAGAAAACAGCAGGTGCAAACGTCCTGAGGCAGGAGTGCTTGAGCAACTGCATGGAACTTAGCAGCAAGTCCTGTTTCTCTAACTTCCCAGCTGCTCTTTGGGACCACAGGCTACTCCTGGCTTCGCTGAGGCCGACCATCTGATCTGAGCATTGTCAGGGCCTTGCCACCACATGCCAGGAGCCTTATCAAGTGTTTCCCTCTAACCTTTTTTTTTTGCTGCTCTGCACAGCTCACAGGATCTCAGCTCCCCAACTCAGGGACTGAGCCAGCCCAGCCAAGGGCAAAGCCTGGAGTCTGAACCCCTGGGCTGGCAGGGAGCTCCTAAATGCCTTCTCTTGACTGGTCTTGTTTCCTCCACTCTGTGTTCAGCTGGCAGAAGGGGACCTGGAGACTCACAGCACCTTGGTGGTTTGCCCAAAGCGAGCGGCACAGCGGGGACTCCACCGCGGGCCTGTCAGACGCGCCTGGCATCCCAGCCCTGAAGCTGGGTCCCAGCAGGCCACCCAGGGTGCCGGCAGGAGGGGCCACCAAGTCCTGGCGGGCGTCCTCTCAGGGCTGAGGCAGCTGGACTGACAGCCAAGCCAGACGGGCCTGGGCGCAGGCGAGGAGCGCAGACTGAGGGGCTTCGAGGAACAGGACGAGCTTCCCGCCACCAATGCCTGCTGTCGGCTCCTGGCTCTGGTCCGGTGCGGTTTCCACCTGGGAGAGGCTGGGCCTGGGGAGCCAGGGCGGGAATATTCCAGAGGAGTCAGAGAAGCCTCCTAGAAGGGAGCCAGCTGTGGCCGGGCCCCTTACTTTGCACACGTCGTCTGCACATCCAGCCCCAGGAGAGGTCCCGTCAGCTGCCGAGGGTCAGAGAGCGAGGGAGGGGGACTCCCTGGGTGGCCCAGCGGTCAGGGCTTGGAGCTCCCAGGGCGGGGGCGCACGTGTGGCCCCGGTCTCCCATGGTCAGAGAACTAAGATCCCGCACTCCTCGCAGCATGGCCACACACACACAGCCTGGC